AGTAGTAGTAGTGGTGGTAGTAGAAGAAGAACAAGAGGAGCTGTAGCCGTTGTACTGTGATTGTTGCTACTCATTACCCGTATGCTAGTAGTACTGCTTCTACATTACGACTACTATGATTTTTGGTACTGCTATTTCACATTATTTTCGGTGTTATCATGCGCACGACGACGACGACCGCGACTACGACCACGACTACTACTACATCTCCTGCTAGTCTGCAAATCGACGACTGCGACAACAGCTACGATGATTGCAACAACAACTATGACTGCCACCGCTACCGCCACTACCAGTTCTACTCGTCCCACAACAGCTTTGCCTCCTGTAGTACAAGTATGAGAACTAGTAGTGTTACAGCAGCAACATCCACCAGAAGTAAATAAAATACAAGTCTTCCTTGACACTGGTACCAGTACAAGTCCGGCTTCTGGCACCATTACAACAACTGGTGCTACGGTGACGACACTACTACGACGTCAGTAACAAGGGTTAGGAGATGACGAAGTAACATTGTCCTGCAACCAGGTTATCACGCAATGGTCTACAAACGCCCGATACGAGGCCTGGCTATCGCGGTAGTCCTGACTTTAAGTCTTTGCAATGGTGTTTTTTGTGTTCCTAGTTGTAGCAGTGGGAAGAGGATCATGAGGAATAGGACAGACAGAGAAGGAGTCTCACTGGAAGAATGGTCAACATTGCAGCTTTTTGACAATCTTGTCTTGCGCCTGCAAAAACCGCATGCCTATGAGTTCAAGCCCAAATCCTGAACCCTACAACCGTGAACCTTCAACCTTGGTAAAGTCCTGAACCCTAACCCACACTCATGATTAATAAGCCCCCTCCCCTTAATAGGGATTATAATAGGAATCCTCATATTTAGGCCCTGAAAAGGAAGGGGTTGATTAATCATGGGTCTACGTTAACCTTATCAAGGTTTACTGCCACCATCGGCAGCGACTCAGCAGGCATGGGCAGGATGTTACTGGGAGCTCTTGGAGTGCCCTTATTTGATCATGTACTTAATGTAGGGACTGGTGGAGTATGGCGTGTCCAACAACTTCATAATGAAGGGCCTATGTGAGGAACCCAGACTGGGAAGCTTAGACCTTCTGGGCCTGTCGTTCGGAGTGAGATTGGATTTATCCTTCGGCAAACAATTGCGCAAAGGCCACTTCCAAAAGGATAGTAAACATTAAAGAACAAGAGTGCAAATCAAGGAATCTTTGAGGCTTTATGCTTCCAGGGGCTTGGTTGAAGCTTGCTAACAGGCCCTTTTCCGTCCCGGCATAAGGAGCCTTCCGTCTTCAGAAGTTGACTGCACTTGGTCAGTAAAGGGTTGGTCAGAACATGGTCATGGCACTCACCAGCAATTCGCAAGGCATAGTGTGTTGTACAAATGGGGTCCCTTCTCTGTCGCAATGAAACGGGATCCTACTCCCACGAAAAAAAGTGTCCCAGCCAGCCTTTGCAGAGATTCCCACTGGGCCACTGGTGTGTTTGCAGTGTGGCAGGTGCTGCTTCTTCACCAAGCCCATGTTCGTGGATTCTCTGGTGCAGGTCAGTCAGACACTGTCCTAGTCATGTGGACTCTCTGTAGCAAGTGATTACATAAGTTAGATTCTTGAGGAATTGTACAGGGACTACCGTACGGGGTCCGTTGTTTCCTTCGCGCTTCCTTGGGTTGCTGTTAACGAATTTAAATTAAGTTGCTATATTGGGGAAACCATATCAATGACTATACATACCCATTATGGGAACTTACCTTAAGTTCCTTAACAGCAACCCTAAACACTAAGCCCCTGTTTCCATTTCATTTTCGAATTGCTTATCCATTTGATTCTCCATTATTGGGGTAATATTGGGTACCATATATCCCCAACATAACCCTATATAACCCCTAT